TGGCAACAGTGTGAAGATAAATCAGAGTTAGGAGAAAGGGTGGGAGGTTAGAGAGAGTCTTTCTAACAATTGTTTCAGCAAGAATTAACTAGGGTTGAACCTGGAGTGGTAACCACAGATGATCCCAAGCCACGTGGCTCTCATTCTGTTCCATTCTGAAAGCTTCATGTCTCTGCATTCTCGGAATCAGTCACACAGTAAGCACTCAATAAATGTTTGCTGAATTAATGAAAAGTGACTAAATCTAGAGTGAACGCTTCATTTTTAAAATGAGGAAATAGGACCAGAGAGGTGAAATTACCTGCCTATGGTTACCTAGCTAGGCAAGGGCAGAGATAGCCCTAGAACCTAGCCTCCAGCTTCCCTTTTGCAGTGATTTTCTTTTTCTTTTCTTTTTTTTTCTTTTTTGAGATAGAGTCTTGCTCTGTCACCCAGGCTAGAGTGCAGTGGCACGATCTCGGCTCACTGCAAGCTCCGCCTCCCAGGTTTCTCCCGCCATTCTCCTGCCTCAGCCTCCCAAGTAGCTGGGACTACAGGTGCCCACCACCACGCCCAGCTAATTTTTTGTATTCTTAGTAGAGATGAGGTTTCACCATGTTAGCCAGGATGGTCTTGATCTCCTGACCTTGTGATCCACCCGCCTCGGCCTCCCAAAGTGCTAGAATTACAGGCGTGAGCCACCATGCCTGGCCTCCAGTGATTTTCAAACTTTGTCATGCATCCAAATCACCATTCCCAGGGTTTCTGATTTGGCAGGTCCAGGACAGGACCGGCGGGCTTGCATTTCTAACAAATTCTGAGGTGATGCTGAGGCTGCCGGTCCAGGGATCACATGTGAGAACCACTGCCTTATCTGGTTCTCTTCTATAACACCTAGCTATCTTGTTCAGAAAGCAGGACCTCACCCGGCTCCTTCATCCCTCACTGCTTGGCTCTGAGTTTTTGGGAGAATAGACATTCCAGCCAGCACAGTGGTAACATAGTTTGCTAGCTAAGAGCCCAGACCTGCCAGTCAAATGCTTGGGTTTGATCCTGCCTCCACCAACCTTGTCTTCTCTGGGTATGTACATTATAGAATTCTTGTGAGGGTGAGATTATTGAGTGTGTGTAAAACAGTACAACAGTGCCTGGCAAATAGTAAGCACCCAAAAGGGATAGCCATTCTTGCAATCCCATGGATAGGCTTGAGCCTGGGCCCTGAAGGGAGTCTTATGGTACTGTCTGAACTACAGAGAGGTGTGAGAATACACCACAGAGTAATGACAGATTATACCATATAGTCACCTAGATTCATGAACATACACATCAAAATGAGGGCAAAGATTGCTAGGAGGGATAGCACTGAGGCCTGATGCTGTCTGGATCTCCCCCAAGTTTCCTCCAAATCCACTGTTATCATGGATCTCTTATTACTCTGAGTCAAGGAACCAGATTACTAAATCACAGTTTGTAAATACAATGAGTCACTTTATCTAATCTAAATGGTCATATTCACTCATCTCTCAGAGGCTGTGATGTCAGCTTGGACTGATTAGAGCAACCAAAGCAAAGAGCAGCATTGAAACACCTGTTCCTTGCAGCCCTCCACACCCTCAAGCAGCAGCAGCAGCGGCTGACTATGGTGCACAGAACCCACGGTTGCCTGAGAAGGACACACTGAAGCCCGGAGGTAGCTGAGTTCAGGTCTCCAGGATGCTGGTTGCCCAAAGAACTGTATACTTTGATATCTACTACTCTAGTCCCAAATACAGGATGCACCATCACCATTTCCTCTTTAGCCACTCTCAGCTTTGGGGACAGATGGGAAGAGGTTGCAGAGAAAAGCCAGGAGGAAAAACTCCCCAGTTACTGAAGCAAAACCAGAGTGTCGAAGGTCTAGCATGAGGAGGAGAGGGAGATGCTCTAGGAGGGAAGGATGACTGACCAAGTGACATGACCTGTCCCCAAGCTCCACTTTATGCTGATTGAACTCTGGGAGCTCCACTACCCTTTGAAAAGCTTCATGCAAATGTGAACTCGAACTCTGCTCTTAGAAATACTCAGCACAGTTAAGACAAACTGGTACTGTCTAAGAAACTCCATAGTAAACAGCAATGAAGAATTTGATCTCTGGAATCAAATAGATCTGGGTTCAAATCTCAGGTCTACCTCTTAAAACTGTTACCTTGAGCAAAAGTACTTAATGCTCTGTGTCTTGATTTCATCACCTCTACAATATAGATACAAGAGATCCTCACCAGGGTGTCACAAGGATCAACTCAGATACTGCATGAAAAGGCACACCATGAAGCCTCACCAAGAAATGGCCATCGTATTGCTAAGCACTGAACAAGAGAGAGCACGCTAGGAATAACCCAGGGAACACTAGGCATGGGGAAGAGGTTAAGTTGATGAGTCCAGCTTTCTGAACTTGCTGTAGCCAGCCCATTCCTGTGGCCCAAAGTTCTGCCCTTTCCATACTGATATGGTTTGGCTGTGTCCCCACCCAAATCTCATCTTGAATTGAGGCTCCTATAATTCCCACATGTTGTGGGAGAGACCCGGTGGGAGGTAATTGAATCATGGGGGCAGTTTCCCCCATACTGTTCTTGTGGCACTGAATAAGTCTCACGAGATCTGATGGTTTTATTAGGGGAAACCCCTTTTGCTTGGATCTCATTCTCTCTTGTCTGCTGCCACGTAAGACATGCCTTTTGCCTTCCGCCATGATTGTGAGGCCCCCACAGCCATATGGAACTGTGAGTCCATTAAACTTCTTTTTCTTTATAAGATACCCAGTCTTGGCTATGGCTTTATCAACAGCATGAAAACAGACTAATACACATAATCAGTGTGAAAATTAATGTCTGGTCCACCTCCACAGCCTCTTCATTTCTACTGTTTATCTCTATATGGGCCCACTTTGACCTCCTCTTCAGACACTTGTGGCCAGCCCTGTGCCTGGTTTGAGAGGCAGACCTCGTCTTCAAGTAACTGACACAAGAAAGTTGTCATCTGGTGATAAAAACGACTGCCACTTACCAAGATATGGTCCTATCTTTGTTGGTCTAATAGTCTCAATAGAGTGGAAAAGCTTGAGATGCTCATAAAATCATTCATTCCACGTATATAGATGGAGAATCTATGAGGTGTCCTATCCATGAGTTTTCTCCCCCTCAGAAGCCATTTCATTGGAACTTAGTCCTCTCAGCTCAGGGAATCTGGCTCCTGGATAGTGAGTCCATGAGGTGACTAAGGAGGAAGGCCAAATGGCCTGAAGATAGTGGAGAATTTTTCCTGGAGCAGAGAGGGCAGTCCTCAACCACAACCAGGAAGTAAGGAAGAAATTGGCCCAGGCCAGGTGGGCTTGGCCATCCAGCAACAGCTCCTCCATCCTGAAGGCACCCAGGGGCTCTGCTGCAGGTGCGGTCAGGAGCTGTGCCAGGGGAGACCGGCCTGAGGTCCCATGTGGCTTCCTGCCTGGACAAACACGCCTCCGCAGCCCCGGTGGACTGTCACCTCCACAGGCCCCCTCAGGCAGCACTCACACTAGCCCATTGTTCTTCCTCCTGCTGGCAATTCACTGGCTCCTGCTCCCATCCCTGCTCCCGGCAACCCCAGCAGAGTTGCATCCCAGCACTCCAGCAGAGTATGTACACACTGAGCAGGTCCTGGGTTCAGTACTGTCATCCCTGTTGGTGTCTGAGAGTCAAGGACCTCCCCTATTTTAGGGACATGCCTTCAAGCATGGTAGGCATGGGACCAAAAGAGCACGTTGTGAAAAGGCTGTTCAAACGACAAAGATTTTCAACGGTTTCTGTCAGCAGCATCCTTTTCTTTTTCAAATAAATTATTAAGCAGTTCTCCAAAATATAAAGCAGATAGAAAAGCCCCAACTTCAGTGAAAAGGGAGCAGGTGGGGCCAATAGGCTGTCTTTGGGGTCTTCCTACTCCTTTGGCTTCCCTAGCCCTCAGTCCAGGCAGCCCCACAAGCATCTCCAGAGAACATACAGAGTTGGAGATACTCTGCCCTAGGCAATGTCCCCTTGAACTCACCCTGCAGACAAACGTCTTCCAGCCAAACTTAGAGGCACGCCTCCTACATCACCTTGATCACTTTGCACAGTCCCTCAACCTGGTCCACCAGCCAGTACAAGTATCTTGCAGAAGCCACCCTGGAGGCATGCCCATCTTCTCCCAGCCCAGCCCAGACCTGACGCTGCTGTTGCAGGACAGTTTCAGTCCCTGTGCCCTTCAACCTTCTCCGCAGCCCCTGCCCAGGATGGTGGCAGGTGGCCATCAAGTAGCAAATGATACTTGAGACTTGAGAGCAATTCAGAGCCAATGTCCCCTTCAGAGCAGTTGAACTCCTACATAAGAACAGATTGTCTCCATGCTAAGGGGCAAAGAGTTGGGGCTTTGGGGATAGAGTTTTTAGAATGGTCCCTCCTGTTATATGTAACTTGTAAACTGCCTCGGCACTAGGTAACATTCTGAAACCCAGTCACCTTGATTTCCAGAGTGACCAGCCAGGGTTATGGAAGGCCCACAGCACTCCCTGTCCCCTCTGCCCTTTCCAGGCCTCTCCCAAGTCAGCCCCATTTCCCTTCCCAACCAAGTCTACCCACATGTCCCCATTCTGCTGCAGTTCCAGCAGGTGTGGCAGAAAAGTGACCACTAATTAAGATGGGAACATTTCACTACCCCCTTGTTTTTTGGCAACAGCTAGTATACTTTTCTATTGTGTCTGAGGGTCAGTCAACCTTCCCTGAAAATCAAGACAAATGTCACCCCAAATGGGGATGCAACCACTAGGCCTAAGCTCACGCTACTCCCACCCTCAATGTGTTCTCAATCATATGGGTCCGCCCACCTCCCAGCATCCTTCAAAGGAAGGATGTAGGTGCCCAATACCTACACTTCCCTGAAATCATTTCTAACTCTCCTTTTACAGTGTTTATGATTCAGTTCCTCACTTTTTGATAATTATTCACATGGTGCTTGAATCTTCAATGAACAGCTAAGAGTTAAGAGTTTCTGTTTATTTTCATTACTCAATTGTTAGTTTCTTACAGGCAAGGACCGAGCCTTCCTGGAATCCCCCATGGTGCCCAGCAGTGTTTTAAAGTGTTTGCCCACAGCTAATTTTCAATTAGTGTAGGTTGATTTATTCATGCCACTGGCTAGGAACAGTGTTGAGAACATACAAACTCTGAAGAGAGCTCTCATAGAGCTGTTTCATTCAAAGAAACGAAACTAGGGCTGAAAAAGAGCATAAGATGAAGCACACATTTTAATCTTCTAATTTCTTAGCTCGTTTCATATTTTCCCTAAGCAAACATTTGTAAATTTAATCCATATGACACCCATCTCCTGACTGTCTCCAAATACCCACAATTCCTCCCCCAATCCACTTTCCAAATGTAGCCAAGAGATTTATATTTTATGCAAATCTCTCATCTTCTTCCATGGCTTTAAATCCTTCAATTGCCCTTCCAATTGCCCTTAGGCCCTAATCTAAATCCTTCATCTAACTTCCTAGGCCCTGTGGGAGCTGGGATGGCTGCCTTTCTAACCTCATTTCCTAACATATTCCCCCCATACTTTCTAGGATACAACATATTCAGCTTGCAGTTCTTAAAATTTCCACACCAGGGTTTCTCTCTACTCCAGGCCTTCACACCAGTGCTTCTCTCTGTCTAGAATGTTCTTCTCTCCACCTTTTCCTTTACTTTCCTCTATCCCTTTGCCTGACTGATTCCTGTTCAATTTTCAGTTTTCAGATTAAACATCACTTACCCAGAGAGGACTCATCTGAGTCCCAGATGTCAGATCAAGCCAAGTGGTAGGTGTTCACAGGGCATCTGTGTCTCCTCTTTAAGGGCAGGGGCGGTAAGGGGGGTTGTCTTCTCGCTGATTTGTTTTCCTTCCTACATCCTGAGGTTATAGACAGTGTCTCTTGTTCATTGATGTATCCCAACACTAAGAATAGTGCTTATTGAATAGAATTGAAATGTCACCACATTTCAGCTGAATGTTCAGGAAATCCTTCTTATTTACGGTGCTTTCAGGCTGTAAAGATACTATGCTTCAAGTGATGCTTTGGGATCACTGTTTTTAAGATAAATGTACAGTTACAGAAATACTGTGTGCAAGAGTTCCATGATCTCTAATTCAGTATAATTTCTCTTAAATAAAATCATTAACTTCCCCTACCACCACCTTATCCTCTGCTTCTGCCCTGTCTACCACCCTCACTTACAGTCTGTGGCTTGTGGGGCATCAGTGGAAAGAAGAGGGCAGTCATGACCACCATCACCACCACTAATTAGCCACTGTGTTGCTGCCGCTTTAGGTCAATCATCACTGTCTTTCCTACCGAAAGAAAAGGTTCCAACACCGCTAATCATCTGCAAGTCTGAGACAGCTTCAATAGATTGACAAGCAATCAGAGATAGCTCTATGTGTTTACAGAGCAGCCGACCATTGACCAAGTGTGGTTTCAGAGGACATCCCTGCGTTCCAACCACATTACTCCAAATCTTAACTAAAATGCCGCAGTAAGACCTTGGTCCTTTAGCCTAAGGCAGTGGTTTTCAAACTTTGGCATGCATCAGATTGCTAGGCCTCACCTCCAGAGTTTCTGATTCAGGAGGTCTTGTTCAGGCTGAAAATTTGCGTATCTTTTTTTTTTTTCTTTTTTCCTTTTTTTTTGAGTCTCGCTCTGTCGCCCAGGCTGGAGTGCTGTGGCGCCATCTCGGCTCACTGCAAGCTCTGCCTCCCGGGTTCACGCCATTCTCCCGCCTCAGCCTCCCGAGTAGCTGGGACTACAGGCGCCTACAGGCACACCCGGCTAATTTTTTGTATTTTCAGTAGAGACGGGGTGAAAATTTGCATTTCTGTGCTCCGGGTGAAGGTGATGCTGCTGGTCTGGGAATCACACAGTGACACCTTCTCACTTAAACTAGGGATAGCTGTGAGGCCTGGTGGTGAGTGAGATTCACCTGTGGAGTTTTGTTTGTTTTTGTTTTTGTTTTTAACATTATAGAGTTTGAGTGGGGCCCAGTCTTCTGTATTTGATAAATGTATCAAAAGTGATATTGCTGCAAGGCCAAGGTTGAGAACCATGTTTATCCCTGTTTAAAAGCAATGATGCCTGTAAAGGTCTAATATTTTGAGGCCGAGCCGGTGATTTACATGCTAGCATAAAAGAGTTCTTGAGCTTTCCTGAGAGATCTTAATGGGGCGAAAAGGCATGAAAACTGAAGATCCTACACCAAGAGGGATATGTGGATAAAGCACAACCCCAGAGGGAAACTGAGGCACCCAAACCTCACCTTTACCCACGTCACCACGTGGGTTGCCCAAACTGTGGAAGCCCCATGCAGGAGGTGCCCTTGAAGCCGCAATTGCAGCCGCTTCCTTGGAGGCTTTCATTACCTTTGGCTCTGCTTCCTGTAGGATCCCCAGCTGTGGCCAAGACTGTCCAAATGGGCAATGTGAAAACTCCAGCCAGTCAGATATTTTGACTGAACCCCTGGATACCCCTTAGCCTCTGGCATGAGAAAGCTCTTCCCCTGACCTCCTGTAAACTTCATTGTCCAGAGAACCACTGGAAAGCATTCGCATGTGAATTTGATCATTGGACTCCCTTTGAACATAGGAGCCCAGTGGGATTTTAAGCTTCATTCCTTTCATGGGGAGACATGACCTATCTCCTGAGCAGGGCAAATTCAGCCAGATGTTTACCCCTTCACTTTCTAGCCCCAGGGGAAGTGGGTGGTAGGAGGAAGAGGGCAATGTTTTTCCTGTTTCCTCTCCCAAATGCAAACTGTGAGTCATATTGCCCCCTGAGAAGGTAAGACCTACTTGCTTAGTCCCTCCATGGCTTTAAGCGGGTGTGGTCTTCTAAGGGAATTGATCGCCTTGTTTCCGGGACGGCGGTCTCTGAGAGTGAACTCCAGATTTACTAGAGAGCTTCCACTTTTAAACCACAGCGTCTCCATCCTATACCAGAGCCTGACTAGAAGAGGTGTGGGACTTGCAGGCCACAGCTGAGGTTGGTGGGCTGGGATGCAGGGAAGTGGCTGAAGCCTGAGAGGTCCTTCTGCCCTCAGGGTGGCGGGTGTGGGCTGAGTGGGACTGAGGTGTGGCGGTATTTGCAATCCTGCATTGTCCTAAGTATGGTCTGGATAGAGGCCTTATTCCTGATCTACCGAGAGAAATGGGAGGCCCTGGAGAGAGGCGGGATGGGTGAAGATGGGGTGAGCGTGGAGTGAGGGGAGACGGTGTAAATCCCATCTGTTACTGGGGAGGTCAGACAGGAATTTACAGCAAAAGAACCCTGAGAAGCAGGAGGCCCAGCTTCCCACTGACTGGCTGGGCAACCTCGGAAAAGTCATGCTTCCTCTCTGTGCCTCAGTTTCCCCATCTGTAAAGGGAGGAGACCAGAGCAGATGATTGTGCCCAGGCCTAGTGTTCTGTGATTCTACAGTTATGTGAATTGAACTACTATGGAGTCTCTTATCTTAAAATACAATAGGCAGTTCCTAAAACTGCTCTCAACTGAGGAAAGGGTATTGCATCTGTAGTACTTGAGTTAGTTTACAAATAACAAGAACTTTAGAACCCTCCAAAGAAAATTCATCTCTCTCCCTCTCTCCTTCTTTGTCTGTATTGTACAAGCTCATGTTAAATGATGAAGAATGTTCTAAACAAAGTACAGTACAAACAGATTAAATGTCAAAACTTTAATATAGCATAACTTTAACATCACTTCAAAGGAAAATAATCTTATAATTCTTAAAGCCCTTATCCCCAAAGACAAGACACATAAGTGAGGAAAACTCAAGAAGAAAGAAGGCTTCCTCTAGGAGATAGAGGTTAATCTCTCCCACTCCCACGCGGGCTAGTTAATGACTAGCTTCTAACAAAGAGTGTATGAAGGGGAAGAAATAACCTCACCATGGAGAGACCTAGCAGACACCACCTTAACCAAGTGACCAATGTTAATGTCACCTGTGACCAGTCATGTTCATATCATATAGCCTTGGCAGGATGTAGCGAGAAGCCCTCTTCACCTCTATAGTAGTCTTTCTAAAAAACCATAGCTCCAGAATAACCATAAGACAACACCAAACAAACCCAAACTGAGGGACATTCTATAAAATACCTTACCAGTACTCCTCAAAACTGTCAAGGTCATAAAAACAAGACTGAGAAACTCACAGAGCAGAGGACACTAAAGAGTCACAATGAATGATTTCATAGGCTGTTCCTGACTGGAACCCGGAACATAAAAAAAAAAAAAAATAGGAAAATTGGTGAATCCAAATAAAGTTTGTAAGTTAGTTCATGGTATTACATAAATGCCAATTTCTTAGTTTTGATAAATGTACCATAGTTGCATAAGTTGATAACATTAAAGAAAACTGGGGCCGGGCACAGTGGCTCACACCTGTAATCCCAGCACTTCGGGTGGCCGAGGCAGGTGGATCACGAGGTCAGGAGATCAAGACCATCCTGTGAATGGTGAAACC